GTCCTCGCTTATAATTAGAGTTTAGGCTACCAAGACATGAGTCATTCATCACTCCTTTCAAAGCCAGTCATAAATTCATTTCAAACATAGCATTGGGGATTACATTCAAGCTGCAGTATTATAATCAAGTTGCATTAGCCAGCTTTATACTTAAGACCTAAAGCCTCCATTACTCTCAACAGTCCACATACAAGCAAAGAAAGTTTCACTATAAAGTGGCACTTGCTTAGGAACTCCTCATTCTTAAAAAGAAACTGTTCTAAGAACTCCTACCAAAAGCCAAACTCAAGCAGCCAAAACAAAAAATAAATAATAATAATAATAAAATTTTCACTTTAATCCTGGTGAGGATGACCATCCAATAGAAAGAGAAATTCCCAGTCGAACAAAATCACTATAAGTTAGAAATATTACCTTTCTGTGTAATGAATCAGCACCTTGACATGTTGATGGGCCCCTGCAAGGCTTTCAATCTTCACTGTCTTTATTATTAGAAAGGAAGAAATGATAGTGGGCAAATAATGTTGTTTCTCAGTTCCTAAGAACCCGTTTTGAAAAGTTTTGTTCCCATGGTAGCTAATTAGAAGGGAGTTCAAAGCTTAGGCTCTGTCACAGGGACTGGATTTCAAAGTCTGTCTCTCCAGAAGCTACTCGTCCACCTCCAGGCCAGGTGCCTTTCCAGGTGGGCACCCAATCATCTGTCCAGTGGAACTGGTAACAGTCCTCACGGGGGCTGTTGTGAGAATGCATTCGTCTAACGCCCGTGTAGGGTCAAAGCTTAGTATGTGTGAAATGTTATAGTTGTGACAGTGAAGTGCTACAAAGTAGGACATACACTTTTAATTTTTCTTTTTGTCCTGAGTTCTGGTCTGTTTAGCTCTTATTGGCAAAATCAGGTTGTTAGTCCTTGTTAACTCCACCCAAAACTGAAAGAGATAAATGGACCCTTACCAGCAGAAAAATTGCCTTCTAAAATAACCCCTTTTGGTGTATCCAGCGTTTATGTGCTGCTGTCCTTTTACTAAGACAAAAAAAAAATTGCATGTTGAAATTGGAGACATTATCTCGTGACGATTAAGAGAGGTTATTACTAGAACAGTACATGAAATGAAAGCTACCTGTTTTCACCTAGGGAATACTGGAAAATAGCCTCCTTTCCCCCAGCAAATAGGCAAGGAGAAGAAAGATTCCAATAATGGATAGCATTACAAATCCTTTTCCATGTACGCTGCTTATCTAAATTGGCACAGGATGCCTGCACACCATCTCTCCAAAATTGTGAGAACTACCAACCCATCCCTCAGGCCCCACCTAACAGCCCAGGAGGCACCAAGAAAGTTATTTCTCTTTCTTGCCACCTGTTTCTCACCAAACTGAATCAGCATTTTTTAGCGCTCAATTCCCATTAGGAAAGGTAATAGCTTCTACAGATGGGCAGGCAGCGCTTATGGAAATTCTACCCCATCTGCTGAGCGATAAGCAGGTGAAGGTTAGAGAATTAGCCCCCAGCAACCTCTTCAAAAGTTTTCCAGGGAGAAAAAAATTTAGTTTTGCATGTGTATGTGAAACAAAATTGTATATCCATGCATAAATATATATATATATGTGCGTGTATAAATCTATATGGATGTGTAAACTTATGTGTGACTACATACATTTAGCCAATTTAAGTGAAGAATTGGGGAAACATATTGTATATACATAATATGTCATACTAAATGCTGCGTCTTTGTCTTCATCCAAAAACTTCAAAACAGGATTCGCTATAAACTCCTTGTTTAAGCCCTACATTTGTTTGAACTTGAAATGAGAGTAGATATCCTTTTAACTATGACCACTGTCAGAAAAAAAAAAAATGAAAATAACTCAAGAGAGAGAGAGAATTGAAGAGCAACTTAACCAGAATGATAATTTTCAATTCAAATTGGCATGATTAAATTCCACTCAACAAACAGTAAATTTAGATTCTCTATTTTAAGTGGGGGACAAAAATAATTAGAAAAAAAAGTATAAGTAGCCAAGGGATGGATACTAAAATCCTCCTTCTATAGCACGTCTCCAGCACCTGCACCAGACCAGGCAGTGCCACAGGTGCTCAGCACCTGTGCCAGCTTCATCACACTGGCACTGCTGGCTCGGGGGTCAGATAAGCACGGGGAGGTGGGGGAGGGGGGGCGGGGTGCACCATCCTGAGCAGTGAAGGATGTTGAGTAGCTTTCCTGGCCTCTACCTGCTAGATGCCAGTAATGTTCCTCGGGTTGTGACAACCAAAAATGCCTCCAGATAGTTTATATCCTGGGGGGAGGGGGGAGTGGCCGTTGAGGGGGGGAATTGAGACCCTGATAGATACACAAAGGTTTGTAGCGCCAGCAAGACACAGAGCCCATTCCGTACGGTCCGAGCAGACAAGAACGGGAGCACCCTTGAGCCTCAGTGGCTTTTTCAGGCTTCTAATGATCTTTCTATTTCATCTGTAGTGAGGCAGCCAGGTGCAGAGCAGGCTGGGAGGCCTCCGAGTCCCCGGCGAAGCTTCACTCTCTCTGGGTTTGTTCTGTTCTCTTGTGGTCTCTCTGACGCTGTCCACCACTCTTGCCGCCCTCAGTGACGCCGCCCTGACATGCTCAGTCTCTCAGCTCAGGTGCACCCACTATGCCTGCCCACCCCACATTTCAGATGTCCACCATCAGGCACGCGTGCCCTGAGCACATGCTCCCAAGCGCCTCCTGCATTCAAGGCCTGGGGAGATAGCCACTGAGGTCAATGGCTCCGAAGCCTGAGTTATCTTCATTTACCCTACAGGAGGTGGCCCTTGCAATTTTTCTTTTACATTCCTTGAAAAGAGTCAACCACCAAAATATGTGGTGCATTATCTAGCTGGAAGGTGTCAGACCTCCCTTTCCCTGCCAGGCTGCCTCGGTGCCCACTGAAAGATGAAAGAGCGTGGGGAGAAGTCAGTTTCTTGTCCTCGAAAGCTATTGCTCCGTCCCCATTACTGTCGCTGAGATTCCGATCTTTTAAAAACATTTTTCTAAAACAACAAATCTCTAACATGTACCTCTTCATGATATTTTTAGTGTCTATAAATAATATACAGCAGTATCAGATAACACATAAACATAGGATACTTAGTTTTGCATTGAGCTGGGAGTTTTAAGAAATGCTCTGTCAGTAAGCATCTCCTGTCAGAGGCTGGTGGTTCTAAGTAATTAGCACTGGCTTCCTTATTAGCCACTTTAACTGAGAGTCAGCTGTAACTGAGTGATAAAGAGCAGAAGGGGTGTTGGTTTTGTATTGGATTTCCACAAACATGTCATGAAGTGTCATTTGACTGCAAACTCGGATTAATGCAGTTTTCACAGGAACTTGAAAAGCCTTCCAAAAAATGCGTTAGCAGACACCTTGATGAGGTTAACAGACTTTAAATCTCATATTCTTACCCTGTTCACCTAGGGGCATTGATGAGAATCACATGGCATTCCCATTTTCCTTGGGTCTCTCTCTCAAGAGGGGACCAACTACAAAACCAGTGCCCCACCCCGCCCAATTTCCCTGAAAGGTCATCAGCTCTGCCCCTGTGTCTCAGGAATGGGAAAGGACACCCCAAGGGAATAATACTAATGTTTCTGATAATTTACGGTTTCTTTTATCTTTATTTTTTTCCTTTTTTTTACATTATATCTTGTTTATAATTTATTTATTTATGCATACAGAACTGGAATACAGACCAGAGATGCAGCGTGGTGAGAGGCCTCACCAGAGACAGAGTGAGGAGCAGAACAGGCCGACTGACAAAGTACACTGCTGAGGGGAGCAGCGGGTGGGTCAGGAGAGGTCTGCCACGCCATGTGTGTCACCTCCGGGGCTGGGGACCAAAGTGGCACTGAAGTGACTGTGGTCTGTATGCAGTGCTGCATCCTAACCCATTGCACCACCAGGGAGCGCCCTCTTTTATCTTTATTAGGTCTGGGTCACAAGGCACCCCTGGAGGTAACACAACAGATGTGCAGCTGAAAACTAGTCAGGATACTAACTTGGGACCCTCCCTGGTGGCACAACAGGTTAGGACGCAGAACTGCAAGCTCGCGGCAGTCGCTTCAGTATGAGTTTGAACCCCGGCCCAGGAGGTGATCCACATGACACAGCTGCTGCTCCCCTCAGCTGCATACTTTGTCAGTCTACCTGTTCCGCTCCCCACTCTGTGTCTGGTGAATCCTCTCACCGCCCTTGTACTCCAGTTCTGTATGCATAAATAAATAAATCTTAAAAAAAACAAAAGATACTAACTTGGAACGTTTACAGCAGTCAAGTTTCAGTTGTCTGTCTCTTGGTCCTCATAATTCCCTTACACTTCTTCAGGTCCTACTTATCCAGATTCCCCCCCAGAAACACATAGTAACTATAAACTGTGGCAGCTGAGACCAGTGTACTGGATTTTGTCTATTGTGCCTCTCTTCAGTCCACTCATTATAATGGCACAACTCTTCGGAGACTGTGAAATTAAACTGTTATTGTCAGCGTTAGGATGAGCAGGATTTTTACATGTTAAATAGCTATGATTATTACATCAAGTTTAATAATTATGACTAAGTTATTCACTGGCTGGAAAAACGATTACAATATTTTCTCCAAATGTTTTATATGGAGACTTTGGTAGGAAACATTGGAAACTACATAATAAATTTGGATGTGCTTTTCTGTTTGATTCAGCATTAAACTTAAATCTCTTTATAAAAGGATTCATGCTACTTCATGTTTAAGTAATATTACTAATTGAAGAAAATGGGGCAACGGTTAAATATCCCTTTGTCAAAAAAATTTAAAACTAAAAATTATTAAATCAGAGTCAACTATTTGGCACCTTCTGAGTACTAAGTATTAATATTTGGTGTGTTTTCTAATATTTCTAATATTAGAAATACAAGCAATATTCCAAAGAAAGTCTAAGAAACACTGCATTCATGCTGTCTTAAGCAATAAAAGATACATCTTTTTACTGTCAGACTTGAGAAAGAAATCCACAATCTTGAAAAGACTGAACTGCAAATCTCAACCAATGAAGAGGCAATTTTAAAGAAATTGAAATCAGTTGAGAGGACAACAGAAGACATAATAAGGGTGAGTTTATATAATTAATTTTAATGCTCTGATTCCCTCCCAAAATGAGTCCACAAAAAATTTATAATTCTTCCAAGTACATCCACATTTAGAATTTCTTTTTTAAACTGTGATAATCACAGAGAATTCTTTTTTCTTATAGTCTGTGAAGGTAGAAAAGGAAGAACCATTAGAAGGTATGTTTTGAACAGTTTATTCAATGTCTTTTATTATAAGGCCACTGAAATTCTCCCCATTGTTAAAAACATATTCTAAATGTATTTTATATTAATACAAATTTTACAGAGTCAATTGAAGACATCTATGCTAATATCCCTGACCTTCCAAAGTCCTACATCCCCTCCAGGTTAAGGAAGGAAAGAAATGAAGGGATAGAAGATGATGAGCAAAACAGAAAAGGTAGGAGAGCAATCTGGTCTCAACAGCAGGTTCTCCAGTTCAGCTTCAAGGTTAAGTAGTGGTCCATTTGACAAAGTTCCTGAGTGGTGAGTCACTTTCATAGGGAAAGATAATGAAGTTACAGTCCTTTTTATTTGCATTTCATCTCCTAGCAAACAAGCTAGGGACAGAGACAATAAAAGCCTGAAGGAAACAGATGCTGTCAAAAGCAAAGCTTCTCACTCAAAAGTATTTCTCCCAATATATTCCATCTGGTAGATCATCGTTTGGGTTACCAAGGTCCTTTAGGAAAGTGCAAATATTCTCCTTGGAAAAGTTAGGCATTATTTACTCTCACAGGGGAATGGTTTTCATAAAACATGGTACTTCGAAACCGCTAGGAAGAATGACAGCTTATATGCAAGTAAACAGAGAACCTTTGACTTTCATATTTAAAAGAAATGCTAGATCCACAGATAGCAGTCATTCATTCATTCAGAAATATTTAGTGAACACCTATGCCAAGGCCTGTTCTCACAGTCAGAACCCAGTAAATAAGTAAAAATAACAAGAATTTCTACTCCCACAGAGGTGATAGTCTAAGAGAAAGAATAGACCCTAAAACTGGGAAACAATAGAATGCACCGTGAGAGGATGGGGGTAGGGAAAGTGTGTGTGCCAGTGTGTGTGCCAGGGTAAGCAGGGAAGGCCCGGGACTATTGGGCAGTCAAGGAGAGATGCTATACAAGATGGGTTCAAACCTGCAAGATGGGCTCAAAAGGAAAGGTGGAAAGATGGGACAGAAGAAGCATTGCCACACTGATTTTTCCTAGAGCCTCTTGGCTTATTGTCCTGGTCAAATTTCTGGCCATGGGATCTTACCTGGGCTGTGAAGTTGACTTCAGCTTCCCCCAAGTCAACCAGTTGACTCCATGCCTGTTGTTTCAGGACAAGCAACACTTCTCTCTGTTAGCTCTTCCTCTGCTTGAAAATTCAAGAGCAAGGCAAAAAGAGAATGCATGCAATTCTAGCCTCACCCTCCCTCTTCAACACCAGTTCAACCTTTAAACAACCTCCTTGTGTAAATTCTCCATAATTTCCACAGGCTGCTGGCCTGTGCAACTTAATAAAATCGACTGTAATGTGTAGTGTGACACATCCTTTCTAACTAAAGGAGAGTTTGGATCTGTCCCATTGAGTAAAGTATATAAATCTATCTTGTTAGAATTATTCATTTGAAACAGGATATTTTTGGTTCCCCAATGAAAATCTTTACTATTTAGAACCCTCAGTTTCTCTTTTTCAATCTTTCCCATTTTTCAGTCATGTCATATATATTCTTCCATTGAAACCCAGGACAGTACAGTGTTGCTCATTATGTAATTGATGAATAGAATCAGAGTTGTAAAAACTAGACAACAACACTGCCCATAAAAATAAACCCAAGGGGATACTTCACATAACCACTGTGCGAGCAGGCTAGTTTACAAGAGAAAATGTTAACGTAATCAAAGCTTAAATTTGTCTCTCAACAGCTTTGTATGCCATGGAAATTAAAGTTGAAAAAGACTTGAAGACTGGAGAAAGTACAGTCCTGTCTTCAATCCCTCTCCCATCCGATGACTTTAAAGGTACAGGCATCAAGGTGTATGATGATGGGCGAAAGTCCGTATATGCAGTGAGTTCCAATCAGAGAACAGCACACAACGGCTCTGATGGCCTGGCCACAGTTGAGGTTGAGGAACTTCTACGACAAGCTTCGGAGAGAAACTCTCAGTCCCCAACGGAGTATCATGAGCCTGTGTATGCCAATCCCTTTTACAGGCCAACAACGCCCCAGAGAGACAAATTATCCCCTGGACCAAACTTTCAAGAAAGGATGAAGATGAAAGCTAATGGACTAGGAAATGATGTAAATGAATCTGTACACAGCATGGACAATGGACTTTCAGAAGAGGGCGGCACCGGCTTCAACCATATCGGGGCAGGTCAGCCGATTCCTCGTCCCCGATCGATGACTCACCAAACAGAGGATACACCCTACACCCTCCAGAAGGGGACGACAACACCTTGGGAAGAACCAAATGTGATGCAAGGCAGGTATTCACCTTCTCCAAAGGCAAGACAGAATCTCAGTGAAGCCGTAGTTGGGAAATCAGAACCCCAAGGTGCTTCTCCTACCGCCCAGGAGGAAGGAGATGTTAGATACAATATTGTTCATTCCCTGCCCTCTGACATGAAAGACACAGAACCTGTGACGATGATCTTCATGGGGTATCAGCAGGCAGAAGACAATGAAGAAGAAAGGAAGCTTCTGACAGGATATGATGGAGTCATCCATGCTGAGCTGGTGGTGATTGATGATGAAGAGGAGGAAGGTGAAGGAGAAGATGAAGAACCCTCCTACCACCCTATAGCTCCCTATAGTCAGGTTTACCAGCCTGTCAAACCAACACCACTTCCCAGGAAGAGATCAGAAGTTAAACCCCATGAAAACACAAACCACAGATCGCCACACAAAAATTCCATATCCCTAAAAGAACAAGAAGAAAACTTAGGCAGCACTATCCAGAATTCTCCACTTGAAGTTCAGCTAGCTGGGGATGGAACTGAGGACCCAACCTTAACAGGTAATAAACATGACAAAGCTTGCCACTGCTGTGTAGTGATGTGACAATCTTCTCTTTGGGTTAACAAGTCCTCTTGCTTTCAGCTGTTCTGACCATCTCATAGATTAATACACTCTAAGGTTTGTGCTACTGTTGATCTGAGTTATTGTTGCTATCATTGACCGTAAGTGTCATTTCGAAAAATAAGGAAATTTTAAAAATAATAGCTGCCTTATTTGTATGTTACACTCACAGACCTTCATAACTCAAAATTCACCTACCTGTGTGGTACTGTATGTGAATGTCTTTCAATCATTCGTATGTTGGCTCATCAGTATCACATTTTTTCCCATCAGAATCTGATATCAGCTGCATTTGGAGCTGTGATTTAGATTTTTTGCATAAGTTAATTGCCTTAATTTTGAAAAAAAAAAGTTTATTTTCAGTGATATTTTATTACTTTCCTATATCTTGTTTCTCTACTATTCTAAAGTAAAATGTCAGTTTGTTTTACATTATCTATAATATTAACTTTCAAAGTCTTCCCTAAATTAGCAAATTTATTTTTTATATATTTGCATTCATCATTATAAAGTTTTATAGCTATCTAGCTTTTTAGCATTGACTGGAAAATAACACTTTTCTACAAAAGGGGTAGCTCATCAATTTTAGATTCCTTCTTATCACTTGACTGTTATATTTTTGGTATCATGTATAAAGAGTAACTAGGAAACAGATAAAATCAGTTATAATAGTGGTACTTACTTTGGCTAAAGAAAAACTTAAGTAAAATTACCCACATTATAGACAGCAATTTTAAATGTCTTTAATAGAATAATTTCAATTAAAAAGCAATACCTACTAAATCTGAGTTAATCCAGCAAACAGAGTCTGATTATTCTATAGAAGTGAAATAATGCCTGCACAATTCTGGAAGGCTTTTTCTTCAGCACCCCGTAAACCATTCTTAGCTTTCCAGGAACACAATAGAATGACTCTCTCCCATTTTCCAAATAGTTAAATCAGGCATACCAATTGTAAATTTAAGTATCTGACGAATTTCTAATCTCTTGGTAAACCTACACTTATATTATCTTCCTAAATCAGAGTTGAACGGTGTATCCCCACAATGGAAGCTGGCTGAAACCAAAGTCCTTCTTTGTTTTAAGAATGAGCTTTGTTTGTTAATCAAACTTTGCATCTTAAATTCATTTTAAAACAACTCAGAAAACTTAAAAATAGGGCAACACACACAAACAGGGCAACACACTCTTTCTGATGAAAAGCAGTGATACTACCCGCTAAGGGCTTCCCGTTTTTGCATTTGGATGTAAGCCAGCTCCTTCTGTCTACCCCTACTCCTTCTCCCCTTACCATGTCCACACATTTACCCCATAGAAAAAGACAGGAAGTGACTAATGTTTCCAGACAACACTAATCATGTCACTGAACAAAAATAATGAAAACAGGAAGACTTATTCCAGACAAAGTAACAATACAAAGTTCTGTACTATCAATCAAAGCATCTTATAAACAGAATGCTCCAAATTCCTTCCCTTCCATCACAATATTGTTTTACATTTCTGCTTTCCAATTCAGCACGTGTATTATAGAGCTGATATGGCTTTTTTTTTTAAGACTTCTTTATGCATACAGAACTGGGGCACAGGCCAGAGGTGCAGGGGAGGTGAGAGGATTCACCAGAGACAGAGTGGGGAGCAGAACAGGCAGATTAACGAAGTACACTGCTGAAGGGAGCAGTGGGTGAGACAGGAGAAGTCTGATGCTCCATGTGGGTCCACCCCCCACCACCACCACCACCAGGGATGGAACTCGGGCTGAGGCAGTTGTGGTTAGCTTCTTAGAGCTGCACTTCAACCCCTTGCGCCACGAGGGAGGGCCCCCTCGTATGGCTTTTTTTAATGGGCATTAAAAATATCATATTAATGTATGTCCTGAAGCATTAATGTGTGGGGTCATCACCCTCATACAGAGAATCCAGAGCTGTCTGCATGCCTAGGTTCGGCTGCACCAGGGAGGGTGTGCTCTTTCGCCTTCCCCAACCCCCCACTTAATGCTTACTGACACTTGGAAATCTGCCATGTCAATCAATTCCTTTATTTATGGTCTAAGTCCCCTACTAACTATAAATATTCCTAGTTGCTATAAGAGTTACGAATTGTTTATCTCTTTCCTCTAAATGTAAATATTGTTATCAGAGCCTTATCTGAGAACAATTTTTAACTTGGAAAAGAGCATGAAGGAGAAAGAAAACTGGGAAGGTGGAACCTGGAGATCCTAAAGACAAGATTTTTTTAGTCAAACATTTTACAGACTAAGAGGTGACAAGAAAATTCAGGCAAAGTAATGTCCTTCTTTGAGTAAAACAGTAACAGGGCCATGCTCTGAGATGATAAATAACTCTGTAGCAGACACTTCCACCAATAAGTGACCCCCACAAGCTTTTACTGGGACACACTGGTGTTCACCCCACCTAGACTGTTGGCTTCCTTGGTAGTCCTCACCAACCTACTCTTGTATACCTTCTACTGATTTCTCCGTCTCTGACAGATGTCAGTGGCATTTCAGAATGAAGAGGTGAAGAACCTCAGCTGCAGCTATTTCATATGTTCTTGGTGCCAAAATCGCCAACCTGTAGCAACCGTTAAGAGCCAAGGGAAGTTAAGAATAAGGAGACAAGCTCTCCTCCACCAAGTTCAGTCAACCAAGACTATGTGTTTGAAGGGGAAGAGGGGGCCGAGATCAGAAGAGAGCAAAGGAGAAGTGAAAAGGAGAGCAAATAGCCCAACTTCTTAACAGCCAGATGTAGTGGCCACCTCCACAGGCCCTGGTCCCATGTACGCACTTAGAATTCACACCAATTACTTGCCATAGCACTAACAAAAGGAAAAAAAGGAATAGGAGATTCTAAATCTAGATTGCTCAGTCCCCTCTAAGCAATGGGACAGTGAGGTACGGGAGTTCCCCTCCCCTGAGAATTCTACATCCTGGGTATGGTAAACATCCTTTAAGAACACTGGGTGCATCTGGTTTACTGAATCTCAAGGTGAGGTGTAACTGTAGGGAGGACTTTACCAAAGTTGTAAGAGAGCTTTTAAAAGAAGTTTCCTTAAAATGGACTTTGCCTTCACTCTCTGTTTTTGATAAGGGCAAGGCAGGGGTTCATAAAATCTAGGAGTAGGAACTTTGTAAAGTTCCACCTTCAGTTCACCTGCAGTTGCTTCAGTACAGAATTTATCGTCCAATATCCCACAGCAGTAGGGAGACTTCCTGGCTATGGAGCAAAAGAAATTCTCAGTTGGTGCTAAATCCAAAGAAATATTCTTGGCCTTGCTATTAGAAATACTTATTTCTCTTAAGATTCCCAGGGTAACCATGCTCTTGACTTGAGTTAAATGAAATTACAGACAAGTAGAGTGACAATAAAAATCATAGTGTTTTTACAATATTGGATTTTCATTCCTCTCATATCTGTGAATATATATATCATAGAGATAGGTTCATTTCTTAGTAGTAATATATGGCTGAAATAAGGAATGATGCACTTTTTAAATTTTTTTATCCAACAAAATTCTATAATCAATTAAATTGCTGATTCTTGGGCCATATTACAGATGAATGTGATTATCAGTGCCTTGAAAGCAGCTCAACTTTTGGGATGTGACTGAAACAGTTGCTCCCTGAAGTCCTAAAAGTTAAGGGCAGGACCCAGGAAAATCAAGGGATTGTTATGAATTCTAAATCTGCATTTTAAAAAATGGTGTCTATATCCAATATGCCATGAGCAATGGAATATGCTCAGAAAAAAAAATTACCATTTGAAAGTACACTTGTGCTTCAACAAAGATGTTTTATAATTATTCCAGCTCCTAATTACTGATTCTTGTTTCATTTATAAAGAATTTTTGTCATTCGATATCACGAGGTTTAATGGTTTGAAAGATAACCCAACATGAATTACAGTTTCAGTGTCTGTTTTTTTTTTTTTTTTAAATAGTGTGTAGCTCAGAAAGAGTCACCAAACAGTCATGACCTATAGGAACTATGGCTAAGAATGGAATTACGCAAGAATTCTATATTTAATCAAGTCATGCTGTGTTTGCTCTACTAATTTTTCTAATCTTTATAGAAATAGGTTCCTTCTAGTTCTGAACCTGCTTCTGTCCCAAGTTAACCATAGCTTATTATTTCTACTATCTTTTTGTGCTACTAAAACAATGCTCACATTGTTGGATAAAATCATCTGAGGTATGTTTCAAACTTTCCTGCATTCTATGAAATGGTCATTTAACGTGAAAATTAAGATCATTTTCATAACTATTTCTATTGTTTTTATTTGCAGCTTTAAGGATGAGAATGGCAAAGTTGGGGAAAAAAGTTATCTGAGAAACAGACCATCTATGTACCATCCTTTGGAGAAGAAACTAAAAAACTGTGCAAATTTCTTTTCTGGATATTTTGCTTCCTTTTTCTGACAGCCAAAAAAAAAATTAATTGTACCCACACTAAGTCATGTGAATAAACAGTAGTCAATATTTGTGAAAATTTCAAAAAAAAAAAAAAAACAGGGAAACAATATTACATTTTTCCATTACTGACATGATTCAGTGGGGATGGGGAGGGGAGGGGCAGCCATTTTATTTTTATTGTATTGATACCAAAGAATTTCTAATAAGAGCTGGTTAAATTTAAGAATAAAGTTATTTAAAACAGCCTACCTGTAGTCAATTATCTAGCATTGTAATTTTGCTCTACAAAGACTGAAAGATCATAGGAAGCCATGGAAATATTCACCTTCAACTCTGATGAGAAAACATTAAACATATCAACTCAAAACAACTAGACTTTAGGACCAACCAAGGAACCAATTCAATTGCTCTCATAAAGACTTCAAACCTTTGCATATATCCAAAATTGCAGGCAACTGTTGTGGGATTTGGAGACTGGATTTGGATTATCTTCAAAGCACATGACTTTATAGGTGATTACGGGCATGTTCCTTCTTGAAATATTACCCAATCTTTCACTCAGTTCAATGTGAACCCCATGGTGCAGTAACTGAATATGACCTAAGGTGTTGGATGGAAGGGTACCCACATTCTCAAAAAAACACAAATCTGGTCTGATGTTTGGACAAAATCTTGCAAAAAGCTAGAATTCTAACATTCAAAGTAAGAAGATCAGAATGTCTCTTAAAATAAACAATAAAACTATTTTGGATGTGTACAACATGCCATTCCTAAGTATTCTGGCCAGGATAATAGATTGGAAGAATATTCCCATGTCAACAAATCCTAACCTACTGTACCTATTGTACTGACCTCTGTTCAACACCCTCGAGGGCCACACCCACATGTTCCCCTGGATCACATTAGTGCATATTACCTAGGTCCTGCAAAGTCTTTCTTTTGTCACATGGTCTGTTTCCGCCCCATGCAAAAATTTGAATTTCCCTGGTGGGACTGTGGTAGGACCTTATCTTAGCAACTGGTGTGAGGGTAATGAGAGGTAAAAGCAGCAGATGCTGTTAGAACAAGGATTAACCTGTGAAGCTTCAGCCTCACAGGAGCTGTTTACAAAGGGCGGTTGTTCTCTAGCAAAAGCTCCTTTGCTGGCCTGGAATATTCTGGGAAATAGAGGTTCACATTTCAGAGAGGCACCTTCACACAAACAGCCCATTCCTATTCCTTCCCTTACAAGGAACTGACTGTAGCATAAGTAACTTGCCAAACCTGCACAGCTTTGTAGTTCTTTTTTTGTGATTAAAGCATTGGTATTGGTTCTGAGGGGTTGTTGAACACAAATGCTTACTAGAACACTGTGTGACACCTAATCAATAATCGGATGGATGGATATGATGGCAGAAGGAATAGAAAGGAAGCATCATAAGACTGACTCACAGGAGTTGGGGGTAGGAGGGATTAGCATATCCATTTACTCAGCAATTGAAACCAAGATCCTTAGGCTGCCAATGCCCAGATTACAAAGCACAAGATTAAAGCAGTTATCAGATGCTATAGGTGGTGGCTATCACAGACCCAAAAAGGTGAAAGGTAAAGATATGGAGATTGTACCCACTATGGGATCCCCTGTCCCTCTCAGCTTCTATTTAAAATCAGCAAACCTAGACTCACAAGGAGTGAGCCCCTCCCAAAGAGAAAAAGGCTGTATCAGTGCAGTCTCTGCCCTGGCACAGGACAGCAGTCCTCTGCCCACCCGTATGCAGGTGCTTCTTTCCACCCACTTTCTCCCTCCTCCCGGCAGCAGCTTCCTACCTGCCCTTGACCTGACCAGGCCAGGACTTCTATTCACTGACCTCCCTCAGCAGAGGCCACTCTCCTAAGGCGCCGGCCTGCAACCAAGCAGCCCTCTCTCGGCAGGCCTCTTTCCGGGCAGCTCTTCCTGCCCACTTGTGCCTTTGCAAGTGTCCTTTACTCCTCTGTCCTTTCCCTAATAAACCTACTCTTTAAAAATAACTACCATCTCTGTCTCATGGAAAAACTCGCCTGAGGACTCACCGCATGCCACTGAAAAGGGAGCTCTGGTGAAATCTTTCCCAGAGTGAACCCAAGGACTCCCTGCTCTCCAAACCCACTCATTCCAAAAACGACATCAGATAGTTGGATGGATGGATGGACAGATGGATGGATGCGGACAAGATGGAATCTGTGAAGGAGGCTGTGTAATGTCAGAGGAAACATGACCAGTATCTGACTGGCAGGTCAGCCAGCCCCTTGACAAAGAGCATGTCACAGAAATGGTTCTTCATGGCCACCAGGTGCTGGGGCCTAGGGCTGAGGTTGCTAGGAAAGTGGTTGCCAGGCAGGCAGAGTGGGGTCTCAGGACAAACCCTAAGTGATCAGTCAGGAGATAAAATGGCCATGTACACACCAAGCCAGGCTCCGGTGCTGGATGAATATCAAAGTGCTATTGTCCCTCCAGTGCCTCCTACTGGCATAGCCTAACACTGCAACAGCAGGCAAAGGAGAGATGTTTACAAGGTCAGGGTCAAAGTCAGGACAGGAGATTTAGACATGAAGCATAAAATGGACAACTGGCACAGTCCACATGTTTTAAATTCAGCTTTCTTATTTATTCTACATTTATCCTACATTTAAATGTTTAAGCAACCAAACTATGTCTCTATCTAGTAACATGTAGCTTCTTCTTTTACTCAGAAATCTCACTCTCTTCCCCAAAATGAAGACACACACTCTGAACAGTTCCCATAGTCACAGCTAGCTGTATTAAACATTATCTTTAAGAACATTTTTACAATGACAAGAAACTGACACAATGCAAAGCTCTAATGTACCCCCTGCCTGGATCTCCTATTAACATTGCACATAAATACAGTATAATTGTGGTAATTAGTGAACCAGTGTACATACATACCACTAACCAGAGTTCTCAAGTTTATTCAGATTACCTCAGTCTTTACCTTAGTTGTCCTGTTCCAGGATCCCATATAGGAAGCCTTCCTACTTTGTTGTAAAGTCTCCTTAGGTTCCTCCAGGCTGCAACTGCTCTTCAATTTCTTTGTTTTTGATAGCCTTAATAGTTTCAAAAATGATTGGTCATGTATTTTTATAGGGTGTCTTCTATTGCAAATGGTCTGATGTTTCCATCATTATTAGATTGGGGTTGTGAACTTGAAGGAAGATGACCACAGATGTAACGTGCCAATTTCACCACAACATACCAAGGGTACACACTTTCAACATGATTTATCAGTGCTGATGTTGAGCTTGATCACCTGGCTAATGTTTGTCAGGTCTCGTTGCTGTGAAATTATTCTTTGCTCCCTCCTTCCAACACAGCCCCATTTAAGGAGTTAAGTTCTCTTTTTAAAGGGAGACTATCAACACAAAAGATTTTAAATTCTGGGACTCCCTCATTGCATAAGAGGGTAAGTCTCAGTACTACAAAGTTATTAGCAGCCATGGCAGCAGTTCAGCCCCTGGCCAGGGAGGTGACCCACATAGTGCAGCAGACCTTTCCTGTCTTACCCTCTGCTCCTCTCAGCAGTGTATTTCGGTTATTCTGCCTGTTCTGCTCCCCACTCTGTCTTTGGTGAATCCTCTCACCACCCGTGCACCTCTGGCCTCTACCCCAGTTCTTATATGCATAAATAAATAAAATAATTTTGTTTTAATTTCAAATTCTTCTGCATATATTTCTCCATTTATTTATTGAATCATCAATTTAAATCTATGGATTCATGACTGTTTGCTTTCCTTTTGTGTAATGATCCAATACAATTTGTTGTAAAAATTACTCTTGGTTATTTTTTTTTTGTGTGTATATATACATATATACACACACAAATATATATATATATAAACCTTATATATCTTGCTTTAAATCTTTAGGCGTTACAACACACCTCTAACTTTCATACTGAGAACTTTGATCTCTTTATTTAGAAATTGGTATAATATAAAATTATACTAATCCTTGATAAACAAATTAAGCTGATATTGAGCTCATGACTTACAAAATCCCCAGGTCTTTCCGCCCAACAATATAATCTAAAAGCAGTAATAAGACAAATACTTGTTTTACTTAGCTGAAATTCACATGATAATAAAATAACCATTTCAAGGTAGACAACTCAGTGACATTCCTTACATGCACCATGTATAACCACCTCTATTTCCAAAACATTTCATAACTTCATAACTCCAAAATAAAACCTTATACCTATTAAACAACCACCCTTATCCCCCTCCAACCCTTCCACAAGATCCTGGTAAGATCTGGATTTACCTGTTCTGTATATTTCATGCAAATGAAATCATCAAATATATGAACTTTGCATCTGAATTCTTTCACTTCATGTAATATTTTGAAGGCTGCAGCATGTATCAATCCTTCATATCCATTACATGTAGGTACTATAATTTGTTCATTCATTTATAACTGTTGATGGGCATGTGGGCTATTTTCATTGTTTAGCTATTCTGAATAGTGCTACTAGGTACATCACATTTTTTCCACTGTGGTAAAATATACACACATAAAATTTACCTTTAAACTGCTTTTAACTGTTCAACTCAGTGGATTAAATATATTCACAGTATTGTGCAACCATCACCACTCTCCAGTTCCATCCTAGTTCATCATTCCACAGAGAAACTCTGAACCCAATAAAGTGACTCCCAATTCTCCCCTTTCCCATGGGGCTCTGGTAACCACCATTTCACTTTCTGTCTCTAGGAATGTAAGCAACCTAATAACCTCAATAAATAAAGTAGCTGTCCTTTTTATGTCTAGTACTTTACTTAGTATGTTTTCAAGGTTGTGAACATATAATTGTTTATAAAATGTATAATTTTATCTGTAAAAACTTTTAAATTTTTGCATGAATAAATGGCAATGGCATCATCAACAATATGTACCAGCAACTTTTGCTGCATCATTTAGTCTTTCCCAAAACGGCTCCATTAGAGGGAACTGACAGAAGAAAGGAAGGAGTCTCAGAAGATGCATGAGTTGCCCAGGTCATGCAACTTGTAAATTAATGAGCAAATATACATATGCAGGTGTTTCAACTCCACTTCCAAGTTCCAGGTGCTTTTTCACTTACAGATCCACTGCCTCCCAGCTTACTACCAACACATTTATGAAGGTGTCAAGGTCAAGAAGAGAGCCTGTTAGAGAGCCAGTCAGGAAAGGCTCCATGACTGAAGGCAGGGAGACATAATCAACCCACTTTTACAAGGTAGAGAGGGAAAGAAGGGCATCTCACACAGGCAGCCATCAGTGAGCTGGGTCCAGAGAGCCTGGTGGGGCTTGGCAAAGGCAGGGAAAGTATGTGCCCTAATCTGATTTGAAAACAGCTCAGAAGAATCCTTTTTTTCATTCCCACTGTAATGGATTATCTGAAACAAGGGCCTTTGTTCTTTTTTTTTCCTTGCTTCACCAAAGTATACAGATAACTAGGATTTCAGCCAAGAGTTCTATGCGCCCCTAGAGCTTCCTACTTGGCATCTGCGGCATCTGCCCTTTCTACTGCAACATGGACAGGCGCGGGATGTGGAAGGCATGAGTTTCACTTACCAACCCTTAGCGTCAAAGTCCTGATGCAACTAGGTAAATAAAAAAATAACGATTATTTTTTATTTTATAGAGGAATCCATCTTTTAAAAAAACCTACAATTTTGTTCGCTGTATTTAGCAATATTGCTGATGATAAAAAGGCACTGAATTTAATAATCACCTCTATTAAAAAATATATATTTGAAGCCACCCATATTGTTTATTACAGAAATAAGAAGAAAAATATAAGAAAATAAATAATAGGCATTTTCAGTTTGTGGGTCTCAATCATCTATGAGCAGAAGATCATAATCTGGTATTACTAAAAATATTTGGTTTATTAAGATTAAATTACAAAGACTTGACAATTTTTCATCTATCAACTGATGATAAATTAAAATAGTTCAAACAGATGATTCAATTAAAAAATTAAAATAGCTTCCCCATGGCACTGGAAATCTACCAAGTCCACATATGTGAAAATCGAACACTCCAAAGCTCATCTTGTACATAATTATTTTTATCAGATATAGGATATATTTTACTAAGAGAAACATTCATCTTTAAGCCCATTATAATTGAAAACTGGAAGAAAATATTTTAGAATATTTTTAATTTACTATACTAAAAAGTTCAGTATAGGCCAGAGCTGCAGGGGTGGTAACAGGACGCACCAGAGACAGAGTGGGGACAGAACAGGCCAAATGATGAAGTGCACTGCTGTGGGGAGCAGCAGGCCGGCCAGGAGAGGTCTGCTGTGCCGGGAGGATCACCTCCGGGGCAGGCAGGGATCGAACTCATGCAGAAATGGCTTTAGTTGCTTGGTGCTGTGCTTTAACCTCCCACCAGGGAGGGCCCACTAAAAAGTTTTTTAAACAAAAACATTCAAAAGGAATTTTTAGGCTACAAGTAAGCTGCAATTATAGAATATTAACACAGGAAGTATACATCTAAAACCTAAGCTACTAAGACAAACACCTAAGGAACAAAAACAAAATTTCCATATTATTTACCCAGTAAAAGATGTAGGACATACAGCTGGACCTTTTTCTTACAACAGATATGTATTGGGTTCTTAGGCAATGCAGAAATTAGAACAGAATCAGAAAGAGCACCTAAATAAATGCCTCCTAAATATGTTTATTTTTAAATTGTTCATTTTTGCTTGTTTCTTTTGCCTCAGATCACTACACTAATTCCTCACTACATTAATTTATTATGAGGTCAGAGAAATGTAAAGGGAAATGTAAAACATTTGTTATATAGACAATCATGTTTAGAAAACAAATAGAAATGAAACCGGAAAATAACAATACTGGTCCCTAATCCCTAATTTCAATTTTTTACCAATAAACCTGACACCACCATCAACACACACACACACACACACACACACACACACACACACAAATTGTTCAAATAAAGATTAAGAATTGGTGCAAGGAAAGGAAATGCCATCCCATGACATTATCTAAATCCTAAAATTCATCACAGCGAAGGCAAACAGGAATTAGGCTTTCCTTTGGTGTTACAGCGCCACCCACTGGCTAAGAGTCCTTATAGCAAATATGAGGCCCCGGTGTAAGATAAATTCTTGGAATAGAAAAAAAAACCAATTAACCTAATACATTATAGTATCAGAACATCGAACAAATAAATACACCCATTTTATTTCACAAAGAAGATCAGTAACTGTTAGGCAGGTTCACAAGATAAAATTTTATTAATTATGAAATGCAAGTCTACAATACCCAGACTAGAATTTAACTCTTAAAATGAGAACAACCAACATTTAAAATGCCATTTCAACACTGCAGCTGAGTATATAAAAAATAGTCCTTAAGCCAAAGATGCATCCTTGCATTTCATTGCTAAGAAAGAAATGACAATTTCATATTTTTAAATATTAATGAGACCTATAATAGATTCAGCCCTACTGCTACCTTTACCAGAAAAGTAACAAAATACATATAGCAAAAGACTTGCAAAAAATAACTGGGCTGAACAACACAGTTTTTCTATAAGTCCTAAGAAAAACCATTCAGATAAACTAGTAAAAATAAATTTTTCTTTAAATTTTAGCACCTTTATAGTTCAAAGAACATTTATCTTAATACAATCTCCTTTTTGTCCTAATGCCATTTTTGTTGTTTTCCAAATAGTAATGTTTATTTTATTAAATGCTAGCATTCTTAAAATCTCACTCAGCAAAGAAAATATTTAAGGGTCAATTCCCCTTAATTACAGCTTTTACTATAAGGCAAGATTATACATAAAGGTTTGCTATCAGCTTATGGTCCACAGGACCCTGTTGAATGTTGATTTCTAACGATCAGACTTCAGAATTCCTCTATTGACAGGATCAGGTTTTCCAAATTAGAATTCACAAATCTGCTCCAGCAGTCAGTTGCACAAGCTTCAAGTTTTGTTTGTTTGTTTGTTTGTTTGTTTGTTTGCTTATCACCTGGTCTGCAAAAAGTCAAGGTCTCTGCTTGTTCATAGTTGGCTGATTGCAGATAAGAATATGATGAGAAAAGTCACATTCCCACAGACATAAATTGCTAACACTGCCTTTTTAAAAGCATGACCCTGAAAGAAAAAAAAATGAGTTATGAAAGAAACTATTATCATTACAGTATCAATAAATAAGAAAGGAAAACTTACTTCTGCTTCAGCTACAGAAAATGACTGAAGAATCTGAATTCTGGTGTCATCCAATATTTCAACTGTCAAGAACAACAAAAGTATAGACCAGTGGGTATGCAGGCAATCCAACTTTAACATTGTTGTTCATTTTTGTGTAATGTTTGACTTCTCTGCTCAGTTACAATGCCCGTAAAATTCCCAGCACATGACCCGTAAATGGTCCTGCACAATCTCTTGTGTGCTTTCCTTCCATTTTGACCCCCTCTCCTTTTCCCTACCCGTTTCATATATCTGGGAATTAATGTTTACCTGCTAGCTTTGTCTATTTTTTTTTTTTTTTAAGATTTATTTGTTCATACAGAACTGGGGTACAGGCCAGAGGCTCAGGGGCAGTGAGAGGCTTCACCAGAGACAGAGTGGGGAGCAGAACAGGCAGATCGACGAAGTACACTGCTGAGGGGAGCAGCAGGCGGGTCAGGAGAGGTCTGCCACGCCATGTGGTCACCTCCGGGGCAGGTGGGAATCGAACTCATGCGGAAGCAGCTTTAGATTCTCAGTGCTATGCTTTAACCCGCTGCGCCATCAGGGAGGGCCAGCTTTGTCTATTTTTTTGGACCCTTTGTTTAGTTTCCCTGTATTCCTCCTGTAAGCAAGACCATCCAATATTTTTCTTTTTCCTCCTGACTTATTTCACTAAACATAATCTCTTCCAGCTCCATCCATTTCACTGTAAATGGCAGAGTTTATCTTTTTTGATTGTTAGTAGTATTCCACTGTGAATAAATACAACATACTCTTGATCCAGTTATGTTTGGGGACATTTAGGCTGTTTCCATATCTTAGCTATTGTAAATAGTGCTACAAAAACACAGGGGCACAAGTTTCCTTTCAAAGTAATGTTTGTGTCCTTTGGGTAAAGCCCTAGGAGTGGAATTGCTGGGTCAAATAGCAGCTCCATTTTGAGTAATATGAGCGTCTTTCACACAGATTTCCATCGTGGGTGGACCAGTTCAGGTCAACTAACTCTTTTCAAATAAAAGCCCTGGTTTATAGTGTTTTCTGGGTGCACATTCTCCCACTTCAAATTACCAGTGTTATAAACTTCCTGCATACTTACGACTCTCCCAAATTGAGATAAGATAAAGTGCACAAGACTCAAAATATACCCTCCTCTTCTAGCCAATAAACACCAATATCAAAGTTCTAACAATTCAAGTTTTAAGTGTATATGAATTTTAAGTATATATGAATTTTAAACAGAAACCCGTAATTTAGTGATTTTTGGAAGTCTGTTTATGTAACCTAACCAAGAACCAAAAATGATATAATACAAGGGAATATTATTCAGCCATTTGTGACTGCATGAATAGAACTGGAGAGGATTATACTAAGTGAAAGAAGCCAAAAAGAAAAAGACAAACACTGGGTAGTTTCATTCATATGTGGAATACAGGGAAATAAAACAAAGGAGCAGACAAAACTAAACCAAACAAGTCTTAGAAATCTGACTGCCATTGAGGCTACATGGGCTCCCTGGTGGTGCAAGGGTTAAAGTCTCATGTTATCAAGCAACAGCCAGTCCCAGCCAGGGAGCTGACCCACAGGACATAGCAGACCTTTCAGTCTCCCCCACTGCTCCCTTCAGCAGTGGATTTCAGTCAATCTACTTGTTCTGCTCAGTCCCTGCACTATGCCCCAATTCTTTTACGTATCAATAAATTTTCAAATATTTTTTTAAAAAAAGAATTGAGGCTACCAGTGGGGGACAGTGGGGGACCGTGGGGAAGGGGGGTGCAGTGGGGACTGTCCAATGCAACTTAATTGACAGTACACAGTAAGTTTATGAAGTAGGTAAAATTGATCCACAGCTCTGGCCTGTATTGACATTAAGCACCTCTTCCTCCATCGCTGGGTTCTTTCAGTTCCACACACTAACACCTGAAAGCTTTCAGTGTGTACAATTCCAAGTCAGACCAGAGTGCAAAGCAAAAATTACTGACAAAGGAAACTTCTTCCCTGAAATTTAAAATTTTTTCCCTTATATTATTCATAACTTCTAATATGAGTAAGACTAGCAAAGGCAGAAAAATTCCACAATTTCTACCACTGGCTAAGAAATCACAGCAGAAAATTTTAGTGATCTATGATATAACAGTTAACTATTAATATAAAGAAGCTAAATATATTCTAGTGTTTGTATGAAAGTATTCCTATATAATGGGACTTTTCAAAAAGGTTACCTTTTCGAGAAAGTCGGTAAGCATGTATCTCCAGAATGATTTCAGTTCCAACATGCCAGGCTACAAATCCGATCATTGCATAGGTTTTCCGTGGGTCAGAACGATTCAATCCTGACAAATCCATTCCCAGGAATATTGCTGCCACTGAATTTATATGTACACACATATTATATATGTATATTCTAATGTATTTACCAACAAGAAAGATAATTTTCTCTGTGTACACATGTGTGTATTATATTAAGTAAAACACACTAAAGTTTATTTTTTCTTGAGATGAGTGTTTTAACACTCATTGATTTAGTATGTTTTTTAAACTAAAAAGGTTAAAATAGAAAATGATAATTATTATCTACCAACTATTTTAAGAAACAATCTCCAAAATTTTAAAAAGTTTTAAGTCTACAATGTAGAAAAGGAAAAAAATACAGTAACTATTTCCCAGTCCATGAATTTCCAGACTATAAAAAATGTCAGCTTAGGTGGTTATCCTACAGTCATGTGTACACAGCAATGTTTCCATCAGGATGAATCACATCTGCAGTGGCAGAACAAACAGCCCCACTGAGTCACCACACAGCAGGGTATGTAGGAGGCACAGCAGCAAGGCTTGTGTAATTATACTGCACAACATTTGCACACAGCAAAATGCCAATTCTCAGAAAATGCAATTCTCAGAACGTATCACTGTTGTTAGGCAACACATGATAGTAAAGGCATTAAAATATATTGGAATCACATTGGACTTTTGAAAACTACCCTTTCCTGTAAGGCACCATCTCTGTGAAAAGGACATAGACAGAGCTGGGAGCCCCACAGCCTACCTTAGCTTAATGCACAAATAAGCCTCAACTTGATCTGCTTAAGTGTTTGCTGTCAGCATTGTGTACTCTACTGGCAAAGGCAAATACTAAAAATCTTTAAAAAGAGATTAAACGTCATTTTAAAAATCTTAAATTTAAAACTGAAATAATTAGTTACTTCTAGAAATTGCTTTCTGGATTTCAATGTTTAAGGCTGATTTCTCCTCAACAACCAATTACTATAATTACTAATGCATCTAAAAATCACTTAAGCCAAATTACAACAGGCAATTTAAACAACCAGCAATTATATGTGAATAAGTGGCATCACAATTACTTACCTGCTATTATTCTAGCAGCTGTTCCAATACTCCAGTGAGTCCAGTTAAACCATTGCCTTCTACCAAAGTAAAGAACTAGTTAGTATTCTTAAACATGAAAGAACTGCAATGAATTCCCAAGAGCGTAAATGCAGGCAATTCCCTAACTGCCTAATAATTACATATTCAAGATACATGTTTAAGCCTTTCAAAGTAAATATAACTGAATTTCATAAAATGCGAAATGATTCTACTTGATTTGAGATTAGTTTGTCAACTAATGATCCTCACAATAAGAACACTTATATATAAAAGCCAGAAGTACCTTGGGTGATGTAAAGGTGGTCTGAAAGCTGCCAGAAGAGGCTGAAGAACTGCTAACATCATCACTACACAACCAAGGTATGGGTGGTAACCTGCACACTGAAAGAAATCACATCATTTTTATGCTGTCAATCTCCTCCATCGATTTGAACCCTCAAATTTAAAATAACAAGCACAATGCACGCTTAGCATTTTTCTGTAGCTTCACACATTTGAAGATGATGATGCTGGGTGGATTCACTGAGTGGCTACTGAGTCACACACTTCACACAAACTATCACTAATGCACATGACAATGCTTCACAGTGAAGGCGATCAATATCCCACTTCTACAAACAGAGCGACTCAGGCTCACAGACATTGAGCAGTATGTCCAGCTCCACTCAGTGTGCAAAGGCTGTGGTGGACTCCATCCACAGCACGCTGCCGCCTCCCCATATCCTGCAGGATGTCAAACAACTGCCAGCGCTGCACAGCCACTAGCAGCCGCCCAAGAGGTCCACATGCACATGTTAAGAGCAGTCACCCCAAAGTATTGTAATTATTGTTCGAGCTTCTGTGTTTTCCGTAAGTTGTGGGTTCTTTATGAATCCTATAACTCCAATGCTAACAGAGTCTCAGATTCGCAGTAAATATTTGCTAATTGAATTGAATAGCTTGCATCGTCAATCTAGTAAAATCTTACCACCTCAATTCAGAATAAAGGTCTCCATTTACAATACACATTCCAACAGCACTGTAATACCTGATGGATTTGACAGGAGATGTGCTGGAGAGCAGAAGTGGGGGCAATGCCAAGGCTTGGCTAAGAAAGGAACTACCAACAACATGAGGATGGCAGCCGGTGGAGCAGGACTGGGACAAGAGACCAGGAATTCCATTTTGGACATGTTAGATTTAAGATGTTTTAAACATGCAAGCTGAGCTCCAAGTAGAGAGATGTGTGAGTCTCAAATCAGAGAAGAAGTCTAAGCTGGAGATAAACACATGAGGCTAGACCTGTGTCTTCATTTGCGACATGGGATCATTAACAATATGTACTTTATTTGAGGTTTAAATGTCATAACACATGAATAGCACTAAGTACACCCAGTTACATTCCATAATAAGAATGCAACTAATATTAGCTTAGTGGTCATCATAGTATTAGAGAAAAAGTGTTCATGTTCCTTGCAGATCACACACTGAAATTTCACCACTGTATTTGGGGGGAAAAAAACTCACTAAAGTTATATAGTGCACCATGGCATATGATGTAGTCTAAAAATAAGTTTCATTATTAGTAATCTACAATGACACCCTCAACTCGTCTATGGCCCCAGTCATGTGAAACAGTCAGCAGATGACTCAAAAAAGAAAAAAAAATGCCTGCAGAAGTATCTTTACCCATCCCTTAGGAATGAAAACAGCAGTCACCTTTGACATCAAGTTGGATTTACGTAAGACCATACAACTTAAGATACACTTACCCAACTCCAGCCTCCTCTGTAAATGAAAGGCAGAACAAAAGCAATGCAGGTGAGGGCAGAAGTTGTGAGCATGAGCACTCGATGCACCTGCCAAGAATGAGGAAAGACTTCACTACACAAGAGAAGGGAGTAATGTTGCCACAGGGTGAGACTCACTGAGGGCAAGCACCCAAAGACACCTAATCACAGTTTGAGGTCAGCTTAACATATCTTAATATAGCACTGAACTTTCAAGAAAACCCAAAGTGGGCAGGCTCCTCATTCTCAGACATTTGCCAAGACATCTGCTGCAGAGTCGCAGATATTTCACTGACGAGAACCTCACTTACCAAGTCCCTCACTTCTTTCCAAAGATATCTATTAAGTTCCACCACCAAGCACAGCGCTATACCAGATATACAAGACAGCAAAGGAAACAGACAATTCTGTCGACTGAGGAGCTTGGGGTATAACTGAGTGATAAGGGAAACATATATTCAATGTCTGTCCAAATATTTATTGAGAGTGAAAATGGGAACTGCTAGTTAGTCACATCAGGGTAACTGGTGAAAAAAAAAAAAAAACTTATCCCAGGAAAAGTAGGTCATATTGTCATACATCTATGTAGCACCTTTCACATATTTTGCCACACACACACACACACACACACACACACACACACACACTTCCCATAGTTTGCAGACAATGAAATATGTGAGTAAATGCTAAATTCTGTAAAAAAGAAAATATAGAGTTTTACAATAGGGAATATTCATTTGAGGAGATGGATGGAGAACAAGCAATTAAACAGAGAAAAACAGGAGCAAAAAATGCAGGAGGGAGAACAAATGAAACAAACTGGTCCTGTAAGCTGATAATGAGAAATGAGGTAAGAAAGGGTAAATTTTAAGTTACCCATATGAAGTTTCAAAAATACCCTCTTACCAAGCTAAAATTGTTCCATTAAGCAGGTTTTTTCTATAAACAAGACATGTACATTCTATCTCAACACATCCTTCTTGAACTTCAAGATCAAGAAGCAAATCTCTAGACCATATGATGCATAAAGAATAAAGTTTATTTTGTTTACCTTTGAGGGATACTTACTGATTCTTACTTGTATTCCTAATAAGAGACTTTCTGCCCGCCCTCACCCTGCTGCCATCTCACAGGAAGGGGCAGGATGAAAAGGAACATTCCTAATCTCTCCTCCCACCCACACTGGACAGAGGTGGTTTTGATTGTTGAGCTAGAGTGTCCCAACACTCACTGCTCATCAACCAGAGGACAGCCCCTTGTTCTGAATGCAGTAAGTGGCCACTATTTCTTTCTTCTGCTGTCCTGCCTTCCTTGACCCATCTGTACTCAGTGAAGTAGATGATGCTCTTTAAGCCTCTCACCTACAACTACACCAGCAAGGCAGGGTCATTTGAGATCCAAAGTTAGATTAAAAAAGAGATGAGGCCCTCCCTGGTGGCGCAGCGGGTTAAAGCACTGCACTGAGAAGCTAAAGCCACTTCCGCATGAGTTCGATCCCCGCCTGCCCCGGAGGTGACCACATGGCGCGGCAGACCTCTCCTGGCCCGCCTGCTGCGCCCCTCAGCAGTGTACTTCGTCGATCTGCCTGTTCTGCTCCCCACTCTGTCTCTGGTGAATCCTCTCACCCTCCACATATCTGGCCTGTACCCCAGTTCTATATGCATAAATAAATAAATCTTTAAAAAAAAAAAGGATTTATAAAAAAAAAAGAGATGAGACTCAAATGGCTCTGGTATATTTTCCAATCCAATATGACCCTTCATAAAGCTGTCTCTACTTAGACCACTGTCCAACCTCTTGTATCTATTCTCAACTGGTTATGAAACCAAAAGGCAAACTAAATAAATAAATAAAGTGTTAGGTTTCCAAAACTACATTCAATAGCCATACACACACACATGCACACACACAAAGACTATATATACTTCATATATTTTCATATTGCAATGTTCAAACAGTATGGAAACTGCATTTAACCTTTTCTCCTACCTACCTGAAACCAAACTGCTTTACCAAAGAAAATCTTTGACCAAACAGGTTTGAAGAAGCGGGCAGTCAGCACACCTATGCTAGCGGTTGTCACCCATGCCACAAACATTAAGGCACCTACAGGTGAGAAAATACAACAGTTGATATCACAAACTCATTAAGCTGTTTCTTATATGACCAAGTCAAAAATCTCAGAAAACGGGAACAATAGCAAAATAAGCAGACTGATATAAGCAGACCCTACAAGGACCCCATATATCAGAGCTTTTACCACCACCTTTACTACATTTAATAGTTAACACTTCCACAGACCCTCCATCACCTACCTGATGCTGTCTCTGGGTGCTTTCCATATACTAATCTAACTTATCTTTACTATTATTTTATGAAGTAGCTACAATTATTATTCCCATTCTGCTAGGTAGGAAAACTAAAGCAAAAATAACTTGCCCAAGGTTACAAAGATGGAACTAACCCTGTATGGCTTGAACAACTATGCCTAATAAAACCTGTCTGCAGTTATCTCAAAATCTCATGTATCACTCGAAAATACAACAAAAAACAAAGAGGTACATTATGTTTGAATCCAATTATTGTCAGATTAGAAATACTAGTAGGAGCAAATTACCGAAATTACCAAACTAACTAAGAAGACATTTATTGAAACTAAAATGGGTAACTCTAGAGAATATAAAATATGGCAAATAATGACAGTTCAGAAAAATTACTAATTTCTACAACGGCATGGCATAGTATAAAATACATTAGGCCTCTACTTTTAAGTCTCATCTTTTCAACACCAATCAGAGCTACTTTTCAGTTGGAATCAACTTTCTCCTGTACACACAGAACACACAAGAGCCTTGTCCTGAGGCTACTGCTCTCCCACTTGGTTCCCCCATCAAGTAAATGCATGATACCTAAGTATAACACAAAGTAATTTGTATACCTTCAAATACTTGCACACTGATAAGTTCTTCAGCAACAAACTATCTTTGAACTCAAACTACTGTCTCAATTATTAACCATAAACTGCTCTTTTATTGAGCATTTACTTTAGAAATGGCATAATTAAGATCTCACAAAAGTTAAGCTAAAAAACCCAAAGATATTTAACTCTGGCTGCAGTTAGAAACAACTAGGGCACTTTTTAGAAATTACTCAGTCATCAAGAGGTTTATTCCAGAAAGAAGTGATAATACTAAGACAGGTAAACTTACCATGAGCCTTTAGAAGAAACATAGAACGGGATCCTCCTATGTTCTTTGGATGGTCTGTCACATCATATTTTTCATATGTAATCAAAGGTTGCTGAGAATGCTTATAAATCTTACCTAAGGTTAGCAAAAAAATAATAATTATTATAATAAGATCAATAATAATTACTTCCTCAGGTGAAAATAGAAAAGTAGAATAAAATTTCTAAAGTTAATAAAAAGTAAACATCAATAGAGATGTTATTCATATACAAAAGTAATGAATATATATGCAAGAATATACAACCTATTGAAAAAAACTAAAGAACTTAAGCCTATGAAATGATGAATCAAACTAAGGACTAATAATGGAGAGTTTTGATAAAAGAACTGGTGGCATAAAAAAATCAGTTAAATAATGTTAGTATCATCACAAATCATTGAAAATGTCAAATACAATTGTTGAAAAAGAATGTTTTTAAAAATCTGGAACCTAAATTAAACTAAAAGAAAATAAGCTTTGAATAAGCGTGTGGATGGAGGACAAAGAAAGATATTTTAAGTTATATTATTTGACATTTAATCAGTTTGCACTGGGTTTCACTAACAAACTAAACCCCGACAATAGTGAAGTAAATAAGTTGAGATTATGTTATCTTGTGATTATTATTTTTAATTATGTATAAAAGCAAACATGTGAATGAACAGAATTATCCCAACTACTTTGTGTAAGTATGGATGTGTATGTGTTTGTTCTAGGTGTCTATCCTACAGAAATATTCTTCTTTTGGCCAAAAATATATATGCAAAATATTCATAGGCCAAAGAAAGCTAAGTAAGCTTAATATCCATCATTAGGAGAATGAATAATTACACTTTGAAAGATACCTTACTTTTAAAGTACTATTGATATATGTGTCAAAAAATAAAAAGAATTTTAAATTTTGATATAAAACATGCATATGACTATTCATCTCCAAAATATTAAGTATTAGACCAAAGCTACATTTCAATAGTTTTCAAACAGAAATAATAATATAGGATAAAGGTTATGTTGTCTAATCAAGATGTTACTAAGTTAAAATCTAACAACAACAAGCTACAGAAATAAACTGTCCACCTGGATATTTATAGAGCTACTCTTTAAAATAATCCTTGTGTTAAATATGGAATCAAAACTAAAATCACAAGTCTTTTAAAGAAGTGACAATGTGATAAATGTGATGCAATCAAGGTACTATTCAAAAGAGATTTTTATTTATTGTATTTTTTTAGGTTTTATCATCTTAAAAGTATTTCCTTAAAAAAAAAAAGTACTCAAGTCATCATTTAATTCAAAATATGTCTAAACCAACAAAACATAAACTAGGAAACCAAGATAGATGGTTGACTGAAAATAAAGGTGAAAGTTAACAAACTAGTAACTCAAAAATATAGAAAAAGTAAGCCTATAAGAAGCCAACACATCAACTGTATTTTGGCGAAACCTGACGACAGCATAAAAGAAATATCAAAACAATATTATAAATGTAAAAGGTTACATAGTTGCTGATTTAAATGAAAGTCTTTTAAAGTATATGGCAATGTTATATAGAACTTTCAATCAGCCAAAAATATTTCAAAATCTAAATGAAATGGGTAAACTTCTAGAAGAACTAGAATCATGAAAACTAGCCAAAGAAGTGGTAACTCTCAAGAGTAAGAACAACAGAAGAATTTTTCATAAACCCAGTCACTGTTGAGGTGAAAAAAATCAACATTTTAGTAAATCAACTGTGCATGAAAAGAATAATAAACCATAACCAAGCAAAAAGCTAAATTAATTAACCCAGACCTATTCAACACTGGCTACAGTTAGAAACAATGAGGGCAAGGTTTCTCCCAAATTTCTCTCAGAAATCTATAATAGTAATGTGAAGACAACATCTTAATAGCTTCCTGGAAGAAGTCAGATGAAATTCAGGGCCTCCTTGGTGGGATAGGTGTTAAGTCATAGTGCTATCACTGCTGTGGCCTAAGTTCCATCCCGGCCAGGAAGCTGACCCATATAGCGCATCAGACCTCTCCTGTCTCTCCCCCACTGCTCCCCTCAGCAGTGTCTTTCAGTAGATCTGCCTGTTCTGCTCCCCACTCTGTCTCTGGTGAATCTTCTTACCTCCACCTCTGGTCTACACCCCAGTTCTTGTATGCATCAACGAAAATAAATCTTTTTTTTTTTTAAAAAAAGAAGTTAGATGAAATTCAGCACAAGTTCATGACATCAACTCTTAGTAAAATTAGAAATGGCACACTTTCTAAACACGATAAAAACATTCACCAGAAAAAAAACAAACAAACATGACTCTTAACAGTGAGATCAGGTGCATTACCATCAAAACCAGGATCAAGACACATTCTTGCCTTATCACCACTGGTATTCCACTTGTGCTAGCAAGCCAGAGTATGCAATGTGACAAAAAGGCAAGTGAAGACTATTAACTCAGTTTATCTAAAAACTCCAAGACAATCCACTGGAAACAGAGTGGCATAATTCAAGATATGGCCAAAACTCACTAACGTGTGTATATATCAGCAAATTCAGAAAATGTAAAAAGAAATCCATAGTAGTTTAAAAAAATCTACAAAATACCTAGGGACAAATAACAAAAAAATACATAAAGTCATCTATGAATAAAACTACATAATTTCCCCAGAAGACATAGATATGCAGGATTTGAATAAATGGAATATCCCAATATATGCCTGGAAGACTTATTATTACAAAGCTGTCAATTTTTCCCCAAATGAATCTAAAATTTCATTGCAGTTCCAATCACAACCTAATCTAATAGGATTTTTAGTGAAACTTGACAAATTAATTGTAAAGTTTATCTAAAAACACATACACAACAAAGAGGGGAAAGAAATCCTGGGGAAAAGGAGGGGAAAGGAGGAATCATGTCCTATCAAAATTCACCACCTTTATAAAGTTATAGTAAGTTCAACTACTGCAGAAATAGACATATAAATCAAAGGAATTTTAAGCTAGAAAAACTTTGAGTTTTAGTATATGATAAATAAGCTTTTGAAGCAGTGGAGATAAAATGGACTATCCAAAAAAAAAAAAGGTATAGATCATTCATTCATTGGCAAATACCATTAAAGCACAGCTTACAATAACAGGGAAAATCAGAAATAAAGCAGAAAACAAGAATTTTATGTGATGAATATCTAGAAAAAAGAGCGTCAAGAAGAAATAGGTAGTCACTATCAAAAGCTACAGAAATGTCATTGAAAATCTCCATGAAAACAATGAACAATCTAAAAATACTGCCAGAGTAGAGTGATAGTGATGAAAACCAGACCACATTCCCAACAACCTGAGTGATAAGTTGGCAAAGTGTTTTTAAATGTTGATTCACTGCAGAGTCATGGAATAGGCATGAACTTAACCTTTATTAAAGAAGTCCATTATAATTTTGGAGTTCCACTGGATAGCTGCATTATAATTTTGCTCTATGGGAGGCTGAATTCATGACTACTACAGATTCTATAGTATCAGAATTGTAAAGAAACAGTTCACAATACTTCTGGGTCTCCATACAGCAATTATTTAAATTTGAGATTTCCTAATAGTGAATTACTATTACTGCGCCCAAAGTCCAACTTTTAGCTCAATCACTCAGCATTTCACATGACTGCTTATCTCATGATAAGGCGATGTCAGCATTCTGAGAGGGAAAACAGCAATTAGAAAAAGGTTTTACTGAAATTCAGAATATTATACATTAATATGGGTGACAGAGATTATATGATTGTTTGAAAAATAGTTTCAAGTTTTAAGACGAGTATAATTTATAAGTGGTCCAAATACATATGATAACAGAAGAGACTATGATTTATGTGATAATTATATTTTGGTCCTTAATTGAAGTCCCTGGATCAGTAATATTTAGGATTGGTCTTTTTGTTACTGAGGTTTTATTTTGTTTTGCTGAGGTTTTATTTTGTTGCTTTGCATTCCACCACATTAAAAAATGAATATATAAAAATACATTTTCATATATTCATAATTTGGAAGACATGTATATTTATAAGTATTACATGTATATATGTGCATTTCTATTATAAACACATTCATGTAATATAGTTTCAATAACTGAAATCACATAGTACCTTCTAGTGTTATTCCACATACTACCTGAACTACCTTATAATATGTCCACCTGAATTGGGTGACCCTTAGTTATCAAACCACAGTACACAGTATACAGAACAATAACCTGGGATGATTGTTAAGGATTCAGGTTCCAAGCACCAACAACGGCAATTCAGACGGTATGGGATGAGTTCAGGAATCTGCATTTTTAACAGTGGTTCCTGGTGGTTCTGAAGGGGTTATTTGAGTCCCACATCCTAAGAGACGCCACAAAAGAAGAAAAAGGTTCTCCCCACCATGCCATCAGCACAGCAGTACCAGCAGAAGACAGACAAATCAGTGCTCTATTTTGTGCCTGAACTGTCCATGAACTAGCTTTGTCTGGGGAAATGCTAAAATTATCACTGAAAAAATTGTTCCTCTCAGAAAATACACCTGATTTCCAAGATGCTGACCTAAGAAGAATGCACTGCCAGAAAACCACACACCTAATCTATTGTAAACCAGAATTCATCCATTCAAATGAAATTGATTTTCTTTTAAAGCAATTTTTTTAACATTTTAAAATGTAAATACAGACTGTTAAATCTCCGTTTGTTCATTAATCATGTATTAGCACCTATAAGATGCCAGCACCAAAGAAGTAGTTTGGTGTGATGGAAAGGACACAGTTGTAATAATTGAGCCAAGCCTGGTTTTAATTTCTAACTCTACCACTATTTGTTTGATTTTGAACAAGTTGCTTAACCTTCCAGTTCCAGTTTCCTTATCTCTAAAATGCACAATATAATTTCTATTTCCAAAGCCTCTTTGAGAAATAATTATATACATATACATAAAATGTACAGTAAGAGATAGCTGCAACGACAACATACTGTGCTGGTAAGTGATACATATCTAAAACAAATAATTGACCTTTTCCTCATTAAAAATTTTTTTCTATATTTTTCATGTTCAAAAAGCACTGACCACTACAGTTCTAAAGTCAGAGGGCTTGGGTTCAAATTCCAGATCTGCTAATAATTTATCTGGGCAAATGACTTAATCTGTCTAGCCCTTTAGTTTCTTCCAGATAAAATAGTACTAGTACATATCTAGTGTAGTTTTAATGAGATAAAAAAATGAAGATTAACTATAGTGCTGAGCCAGTGTCTGACACTCATTAAGCACTGAATTATCTTTACTCATTAAAATCAAGACATAATTTTCAAGCTGTATTTACATTTACTACTGCAAATAAGAATACATGATTAAGAATCTAACGTAAAACATGATGACTGTAGTTAACAACATGATATTACGTCATTGAAATTCAGTTGCTAACACACATTCCAGATAAAAAGAACTACACTGAAATTTGGGAGAACAAAACCAAAATCTTCTAAGAGAGTAGAACTTTCTTGTTCTCACCAAAAATAAATAGATGGATGGTGATGGATGAATTAAGATGGTAGGAATTCTTTTATAGCGTATACCTTTATCAAATCATCATATTGCCCACTTCAAATATCTTACAATTTTGTCAACTATATGTCAATAACACTGAGAAAAGTAGTATCATTATGTTAATGTTGAAAAAAAGAGAGAATGCAGGATTTGACTAAGATAACTACACATATCACCTACAAATAAATCTGCAAATGTTCCTAACTTTTGTCCAAGGCTGACTAGATATTTTATTCTGCATCAATACCTTTCGGTCTCTAATTCAAATATCACATAAAATCTAAACTACATGACTGAATAGTCAAGGCTTTTCATAATTTTGCCTACACGTATGCCCTTCCCCAGTCTTTCATCCCCCCACGCCCTCATCCTCCATTATATACACCCAATCTCTCTCACCATTTGCAAAGTAAGCAATATTTCCAAAGTCTGGGGGCAGTATTATCCCCAGAGAGATTAGTTAACATACTACCTTGGCATTTTCTGCAGTTCTTCAAAACACCACTAGCCAAGATCGTAAAACAAAATGCATGTGTTACAACGCCCAGCTGAGTAGTTTTCCTAAATATAAACTAGTCATTCAAATTCATAAAACTACCTTGGGCTGCACTTGGCATCAGACTCACCTAAAGACAGGTGGGACAGGAAATAGGACACCTGTGGGCTCGTAAGGCCTCCTTCTTTAGTGGAAGGGCACATAGCACTTCTATTCTTCTGCTCTCCAAGAGCTGTTCTCTTTCCCCTCTCTTTAACCCTGGAGAAAGCGTAGGCTCAAGGGGAAGAGAATTATATAGGACGGTGTCCCACAAGACTCACAATTTCTGCAGCAACTCCAGAGGTACTGATTGAGGACAGTTATAAGGGGCCTGCCAATGTCACTACCCTCAGAGGCCCAAAGATACAGTTCTTCCTGATCAGTATGAAGTTTATGACCACCAAACACTTTCGTTGTTTTGTTTATATATTTATGAAATGAAGCTATAAGGAAATCAAAATATAAATCTGTTTTTAAACCTATTTTGCCCACAGGGGGAAACTAAAAGTAAATATTCCCTGGTGTCTGATACAAATTTGCAAGTTAAAGAAAAGAATTAATTTAAAGAAGCAACAGATCGGCCCTCCCTGGTGGCGCAGCGGGTTAAAGCACAGCACTGAGAATTTAAAGCCGCTTCCGCATGAGTTCGATCCCCGCCTGCCCCGGAGGTGACCACATGGCGTGGCAGACCTCTCCTGACCCGCCCGCTGCTCCCCTCAGCAGTGTACTTTGTTGATCTGCCTGTTCTGTTTCCCACTCTGTCTCTGGTGAAGCCTCTCACCCTCCGCATCTCTGGCCTGTACCCCATGTATGAATAAATAAATAAATCTTTAAAAAAAAAAAAAAAAAAAAAGAAGCAACAGATCATTTCAAATCCCCACCAGAGCTAGAAAGATTCTAGCAACAGGAATAAAACCAAAGTAAATTCCATTTGAGCCTATGAGAAAAATCATCTTAAGAAAATACACCTGGAATTCATAGCCTGAGGATAGGTGTGAGAATACAGCCATACATTAAATATGTAGAATGAAATGTAACCACTGAAATGATCTAGTTCTACCTTTCCTTTTTACCTAACAAGAAACTGACTCATGCTGTTTCCCAACAGGAAAAAACTGAGGCATGCAAGGGCTTGCTCACCTCCCAAGACTAGCTGGTGGAAAGTGAAAAGTCACAGTTGGCCAATTCCCATTCCAGCACTTTTACTGTTAGTGCCACAGTCATTCTTGTTCTCTCTCCAGTATCTATTCATCTCTGTGATGCCAACAGTTCCTTCTTTTCCTTGGAAGAACTCACTCATCCTCATGCTCAACTGTGTGATGTGCGTTGAATTATCTCATGTCTACTGTAAACTATGAATACAAATGACTAATTTCATCAGCGAGTGCATTCTCCAAAGGGAAGCTTCAGGGCAGTGAGATTTAAAAAGGCAGAGGTGCGGCACCAGCTCTCCACTATGCACACAGCAGACCAGCATCAGAGAGGGCGCTACTGCTCCTGCAGATAATAGAGGGTGGAGGATTTGTGTTTCTGCAAGAAACTGAGACAGAGAAAAGGGCCTGGAAGCCTGAGAAAAGGTTCACTGGGCAAGAATGTTCCAGAGCACTGGGAGAGGTACCAGCCCCTCGCCCCACTGGGACTCCAAGGCAGCCTCCAAGCCATGATACACAGCTAAGCTAGCTACTGGCAGCTAGCTAGCTTAGAGTCCTGAAAGAAACTTGCCCCTCCTGGAACTAGATTCCAGGCCTCCCGTGGGGCACGCACGAGGCGACTGCAGCCTGTTGAGCACTGCCTCTGGGGAAGCGCACTGCTTCCTGGAGGAGTGGGTAACTGCACACGTGGGACAAACTTTGCACTAGACTTTTACACCAGTGAGAGACACAGTCATCCCAGTCCTTGCACAGGCACTGCTGGAGGAAATTCTGTGCCCCTCTAGACTGCATGGAGTAAGGGTATGAGGTCTACAGCTGCTACAAATATTTTGACATCCACCCAGTGGGAGAAATCAGTTTTCTTATTGTAAGTATGTTGCTTTATAATATAGTTGACACACTACCTTTATCTAATTTCCAGAAAAATCAGTCTAGATGAACTAAAAGTTAAAGTGTCAGGCAAAATGGAAAAGGGTCACGATAACGATTTACCAACAATGTGTTTCTTCAAAGTGGCAATTACAATAGTTTGTCCAAAAAAAGAGGAGAAAGTGGAGGAGGTGAACTTAAGATAATTTTTATTAATATACTTACCATCGTTAGCGGCACCATCTGCTAGAAATATGTAGTAGCTTGTGTTTAGATCAAATCTATTCTTAACCCCAGGAAGGGTAATGTTTCTTCTGAAAGAACATTGCATAACACCATCCGCCAGCCTCCAAGACAAATCCTTAAGAATATCCTACAAACACATACAACGGTCTTCTCAGCAACTTCCAAATATTTGCTATAAATAAAGTATGATCAAAATCCTGACCAATTCATTTTCCTTTGTCTAAGATACTTTGTGCTTGCTTTGTCTGCATGTCATTGTTTTTCTACTTCCTCTTTGAAGGTGCATAAGAAACATTTTCTCCCAGTTTATTTGTATTTATCCACTTGGCAAAAAAAATATTTTTACTTTAAGTCAGAATCCCACAATTCCTCTGCCTGGTTAGAAACCTGGCAGATTTACTAACTCCACCTGGTCACTAACACACAATCAAAAACAATGAAGAAACAATTAGCAAGTAATGGTAGTAACCCAAATTCAACATACAAAGAGGGAGAAGTTCCAGCCCCACTGCAGAAGTCAGCCGTGAGAGCAGAAAACTCAATGTCTAAGTTGACAGCTCTACTGACTGGCATTTAGGCTGCTTCCATGACGTGGTTCTTATGAATAATAACGCTGTAGGCACCGGTACTGGAGCTTTTGTGGAGGCTCAGTAGAACAAAGATGGAGGTGTGAAGGTCTACCCCCAAATTATAAAGTCATATAAATGATAGGTAAATTAATAAAATTTTGAAGGGAAAAACATTACATAGTTACAAAATTTTTAGAAAGTGCTAGTTCAGCTCAGCACAGCTCATAAGCTTGTCAACTGCCAAGTGCAAAAAGATACTTTTCTACCTAACCTAGGTGATGTCACCTCGGTCACAGATGCCAACAGTGTGAGGGGGGCACTCATGACAACTACCCAAGACACACACTACCATATATGCGCCTCAGTTCGTAAGTTTTGGAAAAGGGATGATGATGCTTTGACCAAACAATAAAAGTTTTTTAAGATATAACAAAAAAACATTTAAGTGACACAAGCAAGGATTCATCTTTGCTCATAAGAAAATTCTGTCTTGAGATTTAGTGTAGAAAAGAGGAAATGTTGGTCAACGGGTACTAAGTTGCAGCTATGTAGGATGAGTTAAGTCCCCATATGTAAGTACATACACTCACACAGAGTAACCAATGAGATAACAGTTATGTTAATTCACTTGACTGCAGGCAATCATTTCACTGCACGTCGTATACCTTAAATATATATATCACTGTATTGTATATATAGGAACAAAATAAAAATAAATCACAGAAGTTTCTCCCAAATGTTGTAAGAGAAGAACTTACTGCCAGGCCGCTGCTTGGGCTGGCTGCTGCCTGCAGGCTAGGAGGCTCTGGCACAGTATAGCCCAAAGGTTGATTGCCCCCAGCCCCAATTCTTAGGTTTACTCCTACCTCAGAGTCCATCACAGGGTGACTTCGCCCCATCAAATGGGAAGGTTTTATGTGCACAATCTGATTGTCATGAATACACACATAAGCATCATCATCACCCTGAAAAATAATTGCAAATGAAAAGTTTAAAGAAATTTCAACATTATTTAAATCTCTAATAAAAGAAAATAAGATTTGATGCTTTTAAAATATTTACTAACTTAATATTAAATGACAGAATGAATTCTAGAGAACTGACTGTCCAATCTATTAATTTTGTCAGAAAAACTATAATTTCCATGTAAAATATATATTAAATAGTAAAATATTTATTAACCCAGCAGTAACTGAACACCACTGTTGAACTTTCAAATTTAGTCAACTAAACCTCCTTGTATTACACAGATTTTTTTCTCCCCAAATGGAAAAATATCCGTTAAGAACATGAGAATTCACACCTAAGTTCCACTAAATCCCTGAATTAGACAGAACCTCTTTTTCCCATTGGCCCCCCTCCACTCAAGTATTACAATATACTGTGAAAAAGTACTGTGCTGAATATGTGGGGAAAATAAAGATAACTAGATGATCCTTACACTCAAAGACAATGTTTTAATGAAGTAGATGAATGGTTATAATGTACATTAAATGTGATAAAATAGATTTAGATGGTGCAATGGAAAGACAAATTTTGTAGAGCCAACGGATTGACATGGTTTATCAGATAAGGTAATAATTAAAACTTTTGACAATAGGGCCCTCCCTGGTGGCGCAGCGGGTTAAAGCACAACACTAAGAAGCTAAAGCCGCTTCCGCATGAGTTCGATTCCCGCCTGCCCCGGAGGTGACCACATGGCGTGGCAG